TCTCAAATCCGAGCAGCCAGAAGTGGAACCAAGTATCCTGAAATCACTATCAGATACAGCCACGTCGCACTGTTAAGCATGGAGGCGCACGGAAGAATGAGGAGGCTTGCCAAGAGGCAAGTTATAACGATGGCTCTTGCCACGGTGTTCATAAACCCAGATGTGGAAGTTACGCGACGTGATTCCAACGTACGCAGATGCGCAGGGCGCACAACTGTACTCATAGACCAGATTTGATCGCATCCGGGCAGGAATAACGTCCTTATACCTGAAGAAAGAACCAATTTTGAAACTATTTATCAGCAAAACATGCAAATTAATATTAAGGAATTATTTCATAAACAAAATCTTTAGTTCTCTGGACATTGTTTCAGACGCACTACCAAAATAGGGCAATGTGCAATAGTTTTCTTACTATCGCATTCAGTCACAGTTTCAGAAAATTTGTTAGATAAGAAGCGTTCGATTTTATTAAACACAAGGCCCGATGGAAAACCATTCAGCTGAAATATATTACGAATAAATTTAAATTCCACATGCATATCATGGAAGGTAGAACAAACCCAATAGCCACGGCGTATTAAAGTTTGAAGACTATTCATTTTAAAAAGAAACGAGCAGAAGCTATAGAAGCTCATACCCAAGCCAGTAAATGCCGGTTTTCGACACACGGAAGTCTGTAAACAACCGCCAGATGTAGTAACTTTACAATCGAGAAACGGCAAGCAGTAGTTGGATTCTAATTCCATAGTGAATTTTATTGAAAAATGTTTGAGGTTTAGATAATCAAAGAAAAGGCCCGCGTGAGAAGGATGCTGGAAGATCACAAAGGTATCATCAATATACCTATTATTAAAAATCGGTTTAAAATCATTGGGACATTCGGCCAACCACAAAACCTCATGAAAGCTCATGAAATTGTTAGCGAAGGTGGGAAAATGTTAGCGAGTGAAATGCAAGGTATATGGTGTTTTTCCCAAATTCCTGAGATTTAAACTGTACAAGAGGTGTCTACATACTTCAGCTTTCTATAAATCATGGCAAAACAAACTCCTCATCAAGGACTTGTCCTCCAAGAGGAATACTCTGAAGATTTTAACCGGTTCAGTCGCCGAGAGTGAAGCAAGAGTTGGTCGTTCGTTTTCCACCCTCGACGCCTTTGCAGTGCGCCGGCATGCCAGGCAGTCTACGGAAGCTTTCAAGAAAGTCACTAGTCAGACTCATCAACAGAAACTTTACAACCTCGGAATCCACAACGAAATTCATCCTGTCAACCCAGATAAGGTCGTTTTTAACTATAGTTCCTTCAGCCTGGCACCCCGCGCCAAATTTTTGTTAGCTTTTGGCCTTGATTTTTGTCTGCCCATTTTTAAGTTAGACTATTATAAATTTTTTTTAGCCTTTGAAAGACTTGCTTTGAGCATAAAGAAAGTTTCAATCCCCAACCGACCTGAATTTCTTGAGGAGCTGCAAAGCTTAGCCTACCGTCATTTTCATGGATTCAAGTCATATGAAATTTTTTCTTCTGTATTCAAACCCCGTGACACTCTTTTATTGAACGATTTGACCAAAAATAGAGATCTGATCATTTGTATTTTGTAGACCTGATAAAGGCAGGGGGGTTGTATTGGTCGATCGTAGCCGGTACAACAGTAGCCTTACTGAACTTATAACCGATCCTTCTAAATTCGTTGAAATTACAGACCCAATTTCTAAAACAATTTTGAAAATTGAAGACAAAATTAATAACTTCTTGCGAAAACTTAAAGATTCTTCTTAGCTTTTTTAGCTTTTGCTCGTTTCGATTTAAGATTAATGGGATTCAAACACTTTTACATCGAGGTTTTCGTATTTGTTCTACTTGCAATATTCTGCACGCTGAATTCGAATTTTACGCAATATATTTTCGCTTAATGGATTTCCGACTAATCTGGTGTTTACCCAAATAAAGAAATTCATGTCCAAGCGGTACCATGAGGTTGCTCCCGAGCGCGACAATAGGGGTGTTGTAACTGTTGTTTATTGCTCTCTTCCATATTTCGGCCCTGCATCCGAAACTATGTCAAGAGAGCTAAAACTTTTATTTCTAATTATTTCGCAAATGTTAATCTTCGTGTCATATTGGTCAACCATTTTAAAATCGGTTCTTTTTTAGGTACAAAGATACTCTCCCTGTGCATATGCGAGCGTCCCTAGTTTATAAATATAGCTGTGCACGATGTGCATCTACGTACGTCGGGATGACGTCTCGCAATCTTTATTCTAGGGTCGCAGAACATAGGGGCAGGAGTTGTAGAACTGGTAACTTACTGTCGCGCCCACCTCATTCGGTTGTGCGGGTTCACGCCGAGCAGTGCGATGTTCCAGTTTCTGACAGTGACTTCAAAGTTTTAGCTTCCAGTTCCGGTGTTTCTGATTTGCGCATTTTAGAATCATTGTACATTTTTAAACAGAGGCCTAGTTTGAATTTAGCTTTTAGCTCTTACCCGCTTGAAATTGCAAATAGGTAGGTTTTGCAGCTTAGGATTTTCATTGTATTCTTGACTTGTACTAATCACTGATTTATCTGTGTTCTAGAATTTTCGAACTGACGATGAAGCAGGACTCCGAAACGGTTTCTTTAAAGATACTATGAATTTTTGTGGAGTTTTCTTTGCTATTTAGTTTTTAGTAAATTTCGTGAATATGGCTAATGCTCTGTGGGTCCCTCTGCATTCCCTAAAACGGTGTTCAACGGTTTTGTCCGTTATGAATGGCGAGGTGTTCGTATAATTTGTTGTTTTATATTCCGTCTATGAGCTTCACCTGGATGGCTTACAGCGAAATGGGTTTACAGTTTAGGAATTGGTGTTATGAGATCTTGGATTCTGAGAGGCATGTTAAAGATCCTAATGACGAATTTTAGTGTGTCGGGGAATATCCAGCAGAGATTGGAAGATTAAATACATAAGGTAGGTATGGATCATGTGATTCTGTGAATTTCTGTGTGATTCTGTGAATTTATATAATATTATATAATATTAGGAGCTATTATAATAATATTTATGTTAGGAGCTTTATGCCACCACATTCTGGAGCGAATAGCCCAGGGGTTAGGTTCCAGAAAGCAAAGTTCTGTTCCAAAATCTATCGTCCGCCGACGAGTGACTTCCGAAGCTTCGTTAAATTACGTAACTTTTAGCTCACAGCATCTGGGGCAGAGCTGGGCAGCGCTACTTTGAAATGTAGCGGCGCTACCGCTACCGCTACATGCTCTAAATGTAGCGGGCGCTACCGCTACCGCTACATGCTCTAAATGTAGCGGGCGCTACCGCTACCGCTACATGCTCTAAATGTAGCGGGCGCTACCGCTACCGCTACACCCACTAGATTGTAGCGTGCGCTACCGCTACCGCTACAGTAAAATGTAGCGCCGCTACATTAGCCGTTACAATGGCCAAAATTATTGGAAATCTCTAAATATATATTGTTCTGCTATTGGGATTTACTCATAAACATTTAATGATAATAAAACATTTTCAAAACATATCAATGCAACTTTATTGCAATTAACCTAACCGAACTAGTACGGGTTAGATATAGTAAATAAAAGTTACAGTTATTTTTCTGTTTTACCTTCCCTACATGGATGTCTACTTTAATCTACCAATCTCAAAAATTATCCACATATACATATAAAAAATCAGTCTTTTATTTGTATATATATGTGGATTAATTTTGAGATTGGTAGATTAAAGTAGACATCCATGTAGGGAAGGTGAAACATAAAAATAACTGTGTAAAAATAACTAAGCAAACTGAAACACGAAAAAATACCTGTAAGTGGTAACTGGTAACAACTTAACAAGTAACAACTAACATTTTGACACTAGTAACAGGCTGAGGTTGACAACATTACACCGAAATCTTTCGTACAGTTTTATTCTGTAATTTATATTACGTATATATCATGCTGGTTTTTAAATAATGTTCAATACTGTTAAGTAAAATCTAAAGGCTTTATCTATAAATGTAGCGGTAGCGCTGTAGCGGCAAAACCTCGTATCGCTACTTAAATATGTAGCGGGCGCTACCGTTACCGCTAAAATTGCTTAAATGTAGCGCCGCTACCGCTACTGAAAATGTAGCGCGCTACTGTCCACCTCTGATATGGGGTTAGGTTTCAGATAGCATAGTTCTGTTCCAAAATTTATCGTCCAATGCCGCATGGCCGTTCGGCCGTATAGGCTGATTCGACACCCTTATTGGCTAGGTGGCAGGCATCATAATCACTGCAAGGCTCCGGCGCGCACCATCCGGGTGATGTAAATTTTTTTCGCGTATTGACAGACGTTCCAGTGGTCTGATGATCTAATTCAATGGTTGTGATCGGTCTGGTGGCTTGCGGCTGATAATGTTGCAGTCAAGAAGTGTTATAGGCTACGTTCTTGAGGGAAGGGATCATGATAGTCCATTCTAAGCACGGCAGTGGTAGTCTTTGACAGGCATCCTGAGTTCTAGGCCTTTTTCTGGTCTTTTTTGTTCGCAGAATTTAAACCCTGAATTATGTGCTTCTACGTCCCGGAGAAATGAATTTCGTGGTACGCATATGTACCACTTCGGATTTAACGTGCTAAGATAACTCTAACGTGGGAGATTGGACTAAACATTTTCCATTGCATATATGTATACTTGCAAGTAGTAAATTAGTGCAGATAACATTCGCTATAACTTAACCTATAAGAATTTTTGATGAATTACATAATATTTATTTTAATTTCTCTGATAAAAGGAGTAACATTTTCGATTGACAAGCAAATGATAGCGTATGGATCTAAATGCATATATAATATATATTCTAAAATCACTAACTAAACAAGCCTTATATTTTCATTGTTAAGATTGTTAGCAGAAAAAGAACACAGACACTATTCGGGACGTTCAGCTTGTTTCTTTGACAGCTTGTTTTCTTTTTGTTTCCTCTGCACTCTCTGACTGCTTATTTTGAAGTTTTTTTACAGCTAAAAGCACCAGCGCGTGTGATGTCTACACCGTAGAGTGCTGACTGTCATCTTCTCCCTCTGTCTTGGTCTCTTGCACGGTCACAAATGGAGGACCAACGTCTGCACACACAAGCAACATGATTACAATTTCATTATTTATGAATAAAACAGTTGACTGTAGTTGGATGTAGATGTCTATATAGGATGGTTTTGGGAAAGTATTGATCTAAATGAGTTTTCTATTACTGAATACGCTATCGGAATTTAAAACTAATTCGACTTCTAGCCCGAAAAATTCCTTTAGCCAAAATTTAGATAATAAGCCGCTTAGCCAAGCATTACACGGCTTCAAAAAATTCAAGATGCTTGAGAATTCCGTTCTCTTCAATCTCAATTTTCTTACTGCCATCATCCATGAAACTTCTCTCCTCATTATCGCTTTCCTAAGCTCTTTTCCAATTATACATTTGCCTATAATAATGGTAACAATTTTTGTACAAAAAAATGATAATAAATGAAAGACCTACGCCGACCCACATTTTTCATATTATTTTTGTTCAATCTCGCTTTGAAATTTGATACTTTAGCTCATGTACTCATGAAGAAAATATATACCTCGCATATAACATGTCATATTAGAATTTATTGATAATTTTTCTTTTCCTACTTTTGCTTTAAAATCTCAAATAGCTCCTACATATTCACAAACCAGGATTCAAACAAACCAACAAATGAACATAAAAATTTTTTGCAAAATACATAATGATTAAAGAGCCTATGATACGAGCAGAATGCCTCTAATTCTCTCTAAAATTAAAAACACATGCGACCATTAATTTCCTGGTGAGTGCTTTGGTAAAGAATAAGTAGTTTCAATCACGCACGCGTGACAAAGTTATAGAGAGAAATTGTTAAAATTTCTTCTAAAACACTGTTTCCAAACCTATGATTAATGCACCATAGGTAAGGAAGCTTGTTTTTGGTAGTGGCTCACAACCTGGAGCTAGCCGAGCTATCGATTAACGCTACGTTGTCTTGAAATTTATGAATGAAAATTTTATGAAACTCTCTTCCATTTGAAACGATTCGAACCATGGAAACAATTAGCGTGGATATTTTGTAAGCATAAGAATTATTTTTATGAATTCCCAAAAATCAGCTGAATGCACTTGCACGGAAGATCATTCCCCACAGTGCATGATTTTACTCTTACCGAAATTTACTAGAATCAATGGGAAGTTTTCCCTATTTCAGTACTGGAAGTCATCGTGTACTCGCTAATTTCACCAATCTTCATGAATGGAACCCAATAAAAATTAAAGGTGGCGCATCGATGATTATAGGTGGCGATGGTAGATTATAGGTGGCGTAACGGTGGGTGGCCTCGCCAGCCAAAAATCGCCATTGAAACGCCGATAAATCGAGAGGATGCGCGAGCACAGGTGGCACTCATCGATGAATCAGCGATGATTTATTGGGTCCTATTCATCGATGGCTCAGTGCTGTTTTACCACGCATGGCCATCTATTAATAATTGATCAATAATCACCAATTAAATAGCGTTCGAAGTTTGAATTATTAAATATTTAAACATCTGTATAAATCGTGAAGAAAAAACTGTGGATATACGAAAGATAATTGCGTAAATATAAAACGCGATGATTCTTTTCTTTAAGACGGCCGTGAGTTTATTTCAATTTTGGTGTTCACATGATTACTACATAAGCTATTCTGCGATTTTATTAAGATATTACTCTCTACGACGCATTTTATTCCAGAACAAAATTAGAAGCAAAATTACTTTATTTTGTTCCAGGTACGAAGTTATCATGCCATAAATAAACTGTTCGCTACCAAAAAAATCCTTAGAGAAATGAACCATCCAGAACTCGAAGATAATTCATAGATTGTATCACCATTTAAATGACTAGTTTAATGCTTACAAAATATACATAGTGCAATATAGTAGACCTCATCAGATTAGAAATAAAATAGTTATTCACTGATTTGCTCAATAGTTGCGCAAGACAAGCACTCTCTGAAATATTTAGCAACGGCTGGTCAATGCATCAATAAAGAATGTCTCATTCATAAACGGGCAGTTAGAATAAAATAAAATATATGTGATGGCGCTGAAGCAATAGGCCCATATGGCCTGTTAAAGTTAAAGGCTTAAGAGTATTGTGTTACTTAGGCTCCTCCAGCTGACCTATTAATATTTAAATTTAGGTCCCATTAGAATTGAGGGAGCTAAAAGCTGATTACTTGCCCAAACTAGCGTTTTTAAAATTCAATCAGGAAAGAAACGACGCAAAAATATGTGATAATCCCTTCCAGGGCATATTGTTATTTAATAACTCTAATTTAAATTTCATGCAAATTCCTTCAGAATGGGGAAGTTCTGAGTAGAAGATATAGTGAGTTCGCTGGTGAGTTAGGAGGAATGTCTATTGGGTACAACTAATAATGGAAGTTAACTTCGTATCACATAAAGATTTTCCATGGTTTTGTAAAAGGCTTACATGCATTATGTTAAAAAATGCTATAATTATTATGCTTCTACTTGAGTGTTTAATTTGACATCAATAACGTAGTCTTCTCAGTACCGAGGCCTTTGCCTATAGTGTAGCAACAATTTTGCCGCTTAATTCCGCTGATTATTCCTTATCTTTTTGTCTGGTTTTTCTAAACTGATTCTTTGACAGTCCTTCACATCCATTACTCCGAAAATTACTTGAATGATGCATTAATACTTGTATAACTAGTATTTTGAAATTTACTCATTTTACAGCTTGAAATCAATGTAAAATGTTCATTATATAACATGATTTAAATAAAGCTAAAGCAGGTTCTCTTTTGACTACTTTCGGCAGTCCCTCGCTTGACTTCAGATTGTAGTTAGTCATGGTGCAACGTGTTGGAAGTGGTGCAACGTCAGTCCCGAGCCGAATCAAATCAAAATTCTCGATAATATCTTACGTCTACTTATAAATGGTAAACTTTTGTGCTGATTTAAGAAATAACTGACTCTTGTGCAATGCTAGACTTTTAGATTTCTCAAATACTCAATTGTACTTCGGGACTTGTGGTCTAGTATGCATGAACGGCGCCGATATGGCTGATAGAGCCGCCATGCCGGCTGGTGACGCCACTTCTGATGTGATCATAAAATGAACAATTATTAGCATAGCTTACTTCGAATGCAAAATCGAATGGGATGTGGGTGTTTACTGCAAAATCGAATGGGGTGTGGGAGTTTACTTATAATTTTTATGTATTCTATTCCTAATTTTGAAACGGTAAAGTGTAAAAATATTATTTCTCGTGTCCGACTCGCGTCAGTGACTCATATCGCCGGCTGCCCTGACAGATCCGACGCGGTGACGACATAGCAAAAGCGAACTTCAACAGTGTTACTACTTTCCTTTGTGTTGATATGTTAATCTGAGGCCTAAATTAGGATCTTTACTATAAGTAAAACATTTCTAAAGTTAATTAGAATTGCAATGGGCGAGACTGGTCTGAGAATACTTGTTGTTAAATGATTCCTTAATTTTAACGTGCTCTCATGACTCATCCTCATGTCAGGTCGTGTGGTCACTGGTCACACCGTCACAATAGTGTGGTATCTGGTCAATATGGGGTGAAATTCTTGTAAATGTGTTTTGTGTGTTCTACATCAATCCAGCTGATACATGACAAGATTTTTTCTCATCTCCTACAAATATACAATGAATGATCCAATTCAATATATGGCATAAGTCTCTACTATAAGGTCAAAATATGTAGAGCATGAGTGAATCTGTTCCTAAGTTCAACCCTCCTCAAGTTCAAGTAGGCAGTGGCAGATGAAGTAGAGAGTAAACTTCTGTTTAAAATTTAATTCTGGTTCAGAGAAAGCATCTTACATATGCTCATCACGCATCAGTGGTGTATGTGACAGTTATTTCTCAAAACCAAGTTATTACTTACATTTTTAATTTCTACTGTCTATATGATTTTTTTGTCACTGCACTTTTGCACTTGAATTAATGAATGACATCTTTAAATATATATTTAATAAATATTTCAAATGGATTCATTATTTTTTGCTTGATCGGTAGAGAAAATATTAAACACTTTTGCATGATAACATCAAATTCATATGTTCAATCAAGTTACATATTGATATATTGTTATTACACATGGAGTCATGGGTTGTCGGCATCTTGATGCGATTGATGAATTTACCGATCATCAGAAAGCTTGAGAGATTAAACTCAAAAGATGTTCTCAATAAAACGGGCATTATTTTTAACCAAACATGTTTAAATGAAGGGCTCTTCCCTAAATATACAAATTTCAGATTACATGATCTGCATATATAAATGATATATTAGATTACAATTTGTACCTATCTGATTTGTATGCCATATAATGCAATTTAGTCTATCACTAGTAAAATATTATATAACTAAAAAGCAAATGGCATACTATATGCCCAGAAATCGCCGTGCGCTTGCAGTGACTGAATGTCTTCCCGCTATTACGATTAGCTTATAGGCTGCTGCGCAAGGCCAACCTGTGCACTGTGCAGGTGATGGATTTTGTGTGAAATTTTTTATATATATTTCAGATAACTATTCGAGAGCTGTGCACATGTTACACGGCGATGCGTAATCAGCAGGTTCAGAAAATGAAGTCCGTAGCCCCAATCCTGATTACATGCAAAACAAACTGAAATCGTCACCGTGGAGCAATGTATCACCAGCTGTGTGAAAATCATCGGGCAGCGCCCATAGAGAAAACCTCCTAATTCTTTCAGGTCTTTCTGTTACATCTTCAGGTGCGTTTGAAATTGATATTTTTAATGTACAAATTGAATATTTTGCTAGTATTGATAAAATAATGGCATACCTATAATTGTTAGGATACATAATGTTGTCATGAAAATATATTATAATGATTCACATTATATTATATGTTATTTTAAACAATTATATTATTTTATAATAAATCGGATTCTGTTAAATTGTATCAACAATTTGTATTGTCTGAAATGGATATATGAGTGATAAATTGTAATTAAATTTATTGCAATTCATTTGCTATTTTTTGTAGCGTGTTGAATTATCTCCAGTTGTTCAGTAATCCTAATGTACAGCATTTTGATTAATTTATATATGTGCTGTTTCCCAATAAATTTTCCGATTTTATTTCATAATTGTTTCTAAAACTCTGAGTCAATCTCGCAAGTGCAGTCGTTTGCTATTGATCACCCTGTATCAGATGCAATTTGAAATATGGCTGGATTAGTACTAGTAATATGGTCCTCACGATACGCATGCAACTTTTTTCGAAATCTTTTTTAGCAGGAACCGGCTCGTGTAATATTACTTAAATTGCTTTGCAATTAGTTCTTTTTTACTCAAGTTTTGCGTGTACAACGCTGCATAATGAAAGTTCTCAAGTTTCAGATGCCGATTCTGTCACTTCACTTAATCATTGAGACTCCTTGTTTGCCGAGACTCCATGTTTGCTAAGACTCCTCCATGTTGTCTAAGACTCCATGTTTGCTAAGACTCCATGTTTGCTAAGACTCCATGTTTGCTAAGAACTGAGGCTTCCCATCATGTTGATGCATAGACTGTTTTAACTGTGGGCTTGGAATTTTTTGAAAACTGTTGTGCTAGATAATATAATCATCGTACTCTCAGTTAAGTTATGCTCCCGGTAACACCTATTCTAGATTAAGAACTATCGTTTCTGTTATGAATGTCATATTTCTCCTGTGTATATATTGACTTTATACGGTATAACTTGAATGGAATACGAATTTCATTTCATAGAAGATGCATCTAAATCTAGGCCATGCGAATATGAAGCCTTGATTAGTGCCCCTCATCTACGATATGAACATTATATTCCCTTCATATTTATTCGATAATAAAAATATTCATGCTCGGGAGAAATGAGACATTATTATGGCAGCCGATAGTTCATAATCAAGGCTAGGTGCCACCGGGGGCATTTTTTAAAATTTATTACGAGAGGTGGCCATGGTGGGTAGTTATTGATGGAAGAAGAGGTTATAGGGTAGGGTGGCCATCGGCAGGTTATAGGTGGAACATAGACCGGACGCGCCATCGATGCCGCATCGATACGCCATCGGTGCTCCACCTATAATTTCCACCTGTAGCCACCGATAATCATCGATGCGCCACCTTCAATTTTTATTTGGAAATGGCTCTTTCATTGCGGACGATGTTTTTTTTATACTCCGAAGCACATAGAAGGCACCTGGTTCTCGTAGCTTCCGCAAATTAATAATGAATTTGCAAAATGAATTATATACATCACATCAAGACGGCGTTTACAACACTGATAATGACAAACTTTGCTGGTAGAAATGCCACCTAATAAATTTGATAAGCCGTGAAGGTCCTGACAGTTGGCCGTTATTTTCATTATACTGACACTCTGATAAGTTTACTTGAAGCTGCTGAATAAACATTGTAATGTTCCTGTGCTAAACTAATTATAATAATCAAAGGGAATCCCTGCAAAAACATGTCATTGTGAACATACCTGAAGAGGGTCTCATGGTTGTGAGCAGTCTGTCGCGATATGAGTAGCCCACGAAACCCAGAACAGCGACCAGCAGCAGGCAACCTATTACGATCCCCGCAATGGCGCCTCCCGCCAGACCTTTTCCATTCTCTGCGCGATTAATTGATAATATAATTAGTAATGAATAAAGCAGTATCTATGAGATAGATCATATGAAGTATGAAACATCATAGAACAATATCATATAATAATAGATCATAGAACAATTTAACAACAGAACAATAGATCATAGAACAATTTATTATAATAAAGAATGATCATCTTATTAGGTTCTATCATGATAGGGCTATAAATTGATGAGGGCATTGTTATTTTGTTTGAGAATACCCTATTAGTATCAGCAAAGTCTTTCGTGTTTGAACGCTATCCTTGTCTGTTGCTCTTGTAGATAACGTACTCACCAGGTGTTCTTGTTGTGCCTATTGGAGGTGGGGTACTTTGAACAGCGTCATCTCCATTTACTGCACAAGCGAAATAAAAAAAGTCAAATGTGAAATTAAAATTTAAAATCAAGCATTAGGTATATCGGCAAGCCAAGAACCGTCATTAAAGATGAAAATAAACAGTAATATTGATTACCGGTGCTCTTGCAAAGACTTCTACAAGATGGTACACACACCTACAATTGTCTGTAACATTTCAGGTCTACCTCGGGGCAAAAGAGTTGATAATTTTAAACTAATTTCTCGTAGCCTTAAAACTGTGAAAACGCTAGATTGGCACTTTAGTCTTTTTTGCACATTTCCTGAAGCACATCAATTGCCGAAAAACAGTAAATTATTGGAGTACTAGATCGTTTAGGATAGATAGACATTGCTACTTTGAGCATAGAATTGGCTAAGATCAATGGTCGGTTCAAGATTTCTGACATGATCTGCATTTTACTTTACAATCTAATTATCAAGTTTTGCAGAAACAATTTCCAAATACGTTCAGGCTATGTATTACTTCGTATTATTATAATAATAATTGTATTGTATTATTTCATAATAATGGTATTATTAATATTAATAATTTAATAGTATTACTTCATAATTTTCACATTGAGGAACCACTGTATAAAAACTATTCTTGTATTGTACTAGTGCGTTTAGGTTCATGAAACTTGATCACTTAAAAATGAAGTAGCGAGACATTGGCTAATTCATAGCAACATCAGAATTTGTCGGAATCGTACAAGAATAGGTTGGAAATAGTCATAAATCAAAGCATTATCACCTTTCGCAACTTTGCAGATGAAAATTCTTTCAGCATCGCAAGCCACGTCGTTCCATGATAGATCCTTCTCGTTCATCTCCACGCAAAGGTCTCCGTCGTTGTTCGGCTCGCCCTCTCCCCAATTGAGGTAGTCTACGGCAGAGCCGTCAGTCCATCCATAACCTAAAACAATTCAGGCGTTACAGAAGTAAGATTTGATTAGATGACTATTATTGCGCGTGGTGTAGTAGTGTAGCTAGAAGGTATACGTTTTTATTCTGCATTAACATTAGACATGTCTTCACGATAACACATTGACGTCGAAGAAAGTACAAAAGTCGAAAAAATAGTAAATTATGAATAATTCTAAAGAACGTGCAAAGTTTTCCTCAGTGATAAATATTCAATAAAATGCCTCTGCTCAACTATATTATTAAAAGTTACTATTGACGTACAGACTCAGTCCGAATGTTCGATTTAAAAATATTTCACTGTTAATGCAAATAGAATGCCATTCGCAACAATTTGGTTGAAACAATCAGTGTTGAATCTGAAAAATATATATGACCATCGAGTCATTCCAGATGACTTGAGCTTGAAACCCCCTCACACTCACCCACATGCAGCAAGGGGGCAGCTACTAGAAAACTTAAACAAAGAACATATTGAAAAATTTAGTTAGTTATTTATATATGACCATCTTTAAACTTTCTTTTTTCTCTATATTTATTTGTGAACATCTGTACTTGCTACGAGTTGTGGAGATAAGAAGAAGAGTATGTCATTGACAAAACTGCTTCCGAAAAGAAGTTGAGAATGAGTGGGAAGATGGATAGAGTGAAAGGTGTTAACTCATAAAAATGACACAAAGGAGTCTTAGACATACCTGAAAGTTTTTATTCTACAGGCCATCGGCATGAATATAAAAAATCAGCTTTTAAGGCTAAATATTATCGATAAGTTAATCTCTTATGTGTTAACAAACGAAATTTATACTTTTTTATTCCATGATTGCATCAAGTGTACATTGTAGCTAACACATAAAGTGAACACCAACTGAGCAATATTATCATGCTATTGACGATGCATGGTAGCATGTAATTCAAGCAAACATTTCAAAGATGCCTTTCCATTCAACCTTGCAAATACATTACTTAAATAGGAGCAACTTCAATGTGTACGTCTCAAGGGATCCCAGTGACGAAGATGCACTTTCTCCTTTCTCTTTCATTTGATCCTTGCACTTGATAGATATATGAATGTCGTTTGTTCAGAGTAATTTGATGATCAACGAGTTTCGAACCGCATTTTTCTACCAATAACATGTCTAATTGTCTTGAAATGACGAGCTAAAATATTGTAACCAGGTTACTTATTAATTTTCATCGCAAAATAAATCCCCACATTTCCTATTTATTCATAGTTACGTTATATCAATATTTTTAGGGTAATTATAGCTATCGTGTCTCATTTTATGGTAAGGAAACTGACTTCTATAGGACTGTAGTAAATACACGGTCATGGCATGACTGGCTGCAATACTCCCGGTAAGTCTTCGCTCCGATTGTAAATAGAATTAGGTGTTAGGGAACCGTATTTCACTAATCTTTGGTGTTCATGTGTGCGCCCAATTCATTCCCTTGCTCAATTAATTTAGATTTGTTCATAATGCGTTAAAGTTCCGTTATTGTGTTCTGTATAGATCCTATGTTTATTTGATTACTTATACAATTTATTTATTTTCTTAAAGTTATATTGGCCTGCCCATGCTCCTTAAGGGGAGCGTCTTGGTCATTTTGTAACTCGGTTATTTACAGACGGATCACTTCGGAATTTGGTACACGTATGTAAAACATGTTCTATGTTCAAGCGCTCGAATGGTTGTGTAGCCTTGACTAAATTCGCAGGTGGTGGTTTGTAGAAGCGAGGTTTGAGTTCCGCGCAAATAGAACACGAAGCAACGAATTTCTTGATGTCGTCCACGGAATAAGATAGGTTACGTGAACGGACGAAGTGTGCAAGTCTCGCGACGCCTGATGGCAGAGCGTATCATGAAGCTTTTTTAGGTCTGCAAGAAAGCTATACACCGCGCCGTACACCACCACTGAGTTTCGTGTAAGAGTGTCGGCCACTAAGTTGGCCTTCCTTGGCCTGTGGATAATGTCAAAGTTGAATTTTGAACTGTATCTAAGACTTTTTTGTTCATGTAAATTTTTCGAAAAAAATTAAAGAAAACGTGATATTTTTAGAAAACTGCCAAAAACGGGGGTACTGTAGAAATCTATCTCCTCCTAGAATTTTCAAACTACAACATCGATACACATATCATTCGATGCGTAAAGACTACGTCTACAAACGACAATAGGCATTTTTTTAAACTCTCATTTTTTGTGGGTGTGTGGGCATTTTTCAAAAAATTTTCAGAAATTTTTCGATTTTACCCTTCGCCACCCCTTTTGGCAAAATAAAATCCCAACTATAACGAAATTAGAAAAACGCCTACTATAATTTGCAGATATTTTCCTTGCAAATCGAATGGTATACGTCTCATTGTTATAGCTTCAAAACTGTTGGAGGAGATAGGTTTGCCGTGAGACAGGTAGGAGGTTTTCAGTTGAGACGATAAACCGCGCACTGGAGGCGCGCACGCTATGCATGGGCATGTAACGTAGCGTAGATACCAAAAATAAGCGTTATCTTACTTCTAAGTCAGTCAGCGGTGCACAGAACGACAGCTTGAACCTTCCCACATAATGGCTGAGAGGTAACTGAGCTGCAGGTCCAGACTCCAGACTGACAAACTCCAGTGATAGCACATTAATGAACGCATAAATCTACGTAGTGATGGTTCTAGTACCATTCGATGCGACAGAAAGTAAACTTCAAGATGAGCATAAAAACCGGAAAGGCCCAAAAATTCGATTTTGGACCCAGACGCTCCCCTTAATTTCCTAATTTTATTATTCTGTAATCTGATCACCAATACATCTGCTATCTTTACTTACCATTTATTCATGCCTCTGCGCTAATAATTTACGGCAGTTAGTTGCCTAAGAGACATAATATTAAGTAGGTCACGTAGGGTTTACCTCGCCCGCAAATGCGCCGGCAACAATATAACATTTGATATTAACAAAGTTGTTATCGTTGATCAGATGAATAGTAAAGAAGATTATTTCTTTCAAACCATTTAAAGACTTATGAGCATTCTGCGACTCCTCACAATTCCGTAGGTACAATCCAGCGACAAATTCGGCGTTAATGTAAGCAAGTTGTGAAACACCTTTTATTATTTAGTTTCATGTCCCACAGACAGTCTTATTCAGGAACGCAAGGGATTGTTTTTGTTGCGGTGTCACTATGGAAGTACGTAATAGAACAAGAGGTGGCACATAGTGGCAAGAAAGAGTAACGAGACGTGGAAAAGACAGTATTAGAGATGCGGATATAGGCATATAGCGCAATATTTGCTTTGTTGTAGGTGTATGGGGTTTGATTGAGGTTAGGGAGGGGAGGAATGAACCTGTGGGGGTTCAAGGAGAGCATGTACCCTGGAATCTAAGAAATCACGATTTTTGTGTTATTATCTCTTTCAGTAGAGAAATCGACTACGAAGAACTGAAACAATTTGCACTAAGGTAGCTTTCATCGTTTTTCATGAGATAGTTTTGAACTTTTATAAAATTGCAATTTTAAAACTAAATTTTAAATGGATTTCTTCGAATTTTGAACTGTATTTATAGATCATTGTTCGTGTTAATTTCATAGTGTTTGCATTCGTTTGAAAGCTGTGAACGCTGCGCCTTCAATAAAACAAACCCCATGGATGTACATACACGCAATATTTTTTGCGTTAAGCCGTTTTGAACTTAGAAAAAATTTTAATTTTATCTATATAAAAGTTAACAGTAAAAATCCGATTTATATCGTATTATTAACGTTAAACTAGACAAGAATAAGTCTAAAGACGCGTAATGGTACCCAGAATACGAGTAATTGGCAAATGGAAAAGCTTGGGCTACAGTATCTAGCATTTTTGACATATTCATATTTTTTCTACAAATTGCCACTCATTTGGCTTCCTTGAAAAGTTAACCTTTAAATCGTAAAAATCTATCTCCTCCTACAATTTTTCAGCTACAGCAATGAGAGATATACCATTCGATTTTTAATAAAAATCTCTATAGATCAACCGCTCATTTTTCTCGATTTCATTTTTGTTTTGTTTTTATATTGAAAAAAGTGGTCAAAAATTGAAGAAAAATTGTAGAAAGTTTTAAAAAATAGGAAGAAACTAAAAAAATTAAAAAGCGAGAGGATAATGGCTAGATATGGTCTTTACGATTCGAATGATATGTCTCTCGATGATGTAGTTTGAAAATCCTAGGAGGAGATAGATTTCTACAGTACCCCCCTTTTTCGCCATTTTCTATGAATTTCAGTTTTTTTCTCATTTTTTCGAAAAATTTACACGAACAAAAGAGTCTTAGAACTCTATTTTACACATGTGTTCTATCACGTTTTACATATGTGTGTTTCAAAATGATCCTTCTGTAAATAAAAATGTTGTTTCTAGCTATACATGCTCCCCGCAAGCTTTTGCTGGAGAAGTGATGGTAGTCTGGTGGTTTATTATTGACAGTATTTACACATTAGGTTTTCGAAAAATAAAGATGGTATTATCACTATAGACATGCATTTAGTTTATTTAGTTTTTAGCGCATTTTCTGATTTATGGAAAAAAGGCGCTATTTGTGCTCATCATGTCCGTCAGTCCGTCTGTCTGTCCGTCCGCCTGTCCGTGACTTCACGTTTTTGTTAACGAGAAAATGCGCTCACTGTCACTCACTGCAGTGAGTACTGAGTTAACTTTTTTCCATTTCGGATTATATGATAGGAGTAATGATTTTGTACCACAGTTCGGCGTGTCAAACATTATATACTGGTGTTAAATGTTCATTGTATACCGGTGTTACCGGTCCACCAATCACTGCACAATATAAGATCATAAGACGTCATGGATACGTGAATTCGTTAACCAGAACACAGAACCCACCAGCCGATTGTTGGATGAGACCATTCCATTGGTTACCCTTGTATTCTGCTGTGGCTCTCTGTACAAGATCCAGCTCCGCCTGCGAGTGAATGGAAACAAGCGTCGCGCCTTCCTGCATGCAGCTGCGCATGTGAAATTAACCCTCATTGATTCAATTGAAAATGCAGAACTCGATAAATATTTGCGGTAGGAAGTAAAATAAATTCCGGGACGATTCGTGAGCTTATCAGAATTATTGCCATCACAGACTTGTACAAAGGTTAAATGGGGTTTACCGAATGGATACGCCTATATATCCTACAACGACAGGAAATACATCATTCATCATTACTCATACAACGAGAAAGTTGCAACGAACTTCGGCTGGTCCCTACCGTTAAGTGGTCCGTCTTAACTTGTACAATTTCAATGAGAAAAAAAGTCGTAAGACGACGAACTCATTAATATAATCACCAATCCAGCATTATAAAGAAATGATTGGACGATTTAATCTATTTCAATCATTCAGTTTTAAATTTTGTGCAATCTTATGATAAATTTTTATACATATAAGTTTGCGAATGAACAAACTGTTGCACGTCGTAGAAACATTAATTATAAAATAATCTAGCACCCTAAATTGTGCAATTTCACCAATTTACCAAAAGGTATTGATCTGCGCTGCGAGCACAACGCCATATAAATTATTTGTTATAGCAAAGTTATTAGTATCGGGGTGTGTCTCAAATAGAAACCACATTTTTGTTACAATCAAACTTTCAGTACCTCAAGCTAGGCGAAGTAGTTGCTGAAAAAAACCCAAAGATGGTAATTAAAAAAGTGGTTGTGTAAATTGGTCAGGTACATCAAAACTACAATGCTGTTGACAGAAATACACTCACGCAAGGTTGGCGTCATTCCAAGGTTTGATGGTGTTGAATATGCGATAGCAATAACCTCCTCCAAAGTCCAGCCAATTTGGATTTGGACAATTCCCGTCGACCGGCGGCTCCGCGGTGGGTATGGGCTCTGCCTCGGCGAATTCAATCGTTCAATGATTAAAATAATTGTTGATTTTTCAAATGCTTCTAAAAGAGTTCGCAATATATGAGTTGGACACGGTCAACAAAGTCACAAAAACAAAAAATGAAAATTTGCACACTGAAATCATGAGCGCAAATTTTTTTCAGATGCATGTCATTTCGTATTTACATTAGTTATTCTCTTTTAAGACTTGTAGATTTCTTCAACCGGGAATTAAATCTTTCAATTCATGTTTGTAAACATGCAGATTTACCAATAATTTCCTTAAAAAATTTTATGAATGAAAAATCAACAGCAGCTGCTCAGCTAAAACTAGAATAAGAGGTAAATTTTCATCGGTGTTAGTCATGCTTCCTGGACTAAAGCTTCTCCCGAGGTACACACCCCCCAAAGCTGACCGCCCTCACCTGAAGAGTACTTGCAGAAGAAAGGTCTGGGTTCATCGCACCGCGAGTTGTACCAGAGAGCATCAAGTGATGTGGTTAGTTGGACACAACGTGAGTCTGTGTCGCTCACATTTGGTTGGTCTCGACCCCAACGAGTGAAGAGCACTGGGAAAGTGTCTGACCAGCGGTACTGGTCCGCATCCTTACAGAGGTTAATAATAGAATTAGTTACATAATAAAAGGACAGTCATGATTGCTGGATTAGTGCCAAAATGGCTAAAAATAATATTATAGGTGTAGAGAGTATAATGAGAATATATTTTTCATCGATTCTTCTTTTTCAATAAACTTGTATGAAAATTTTTCGTACGAAGAGACAAGCTCCATCACGACAAAATTGCACACAGGATATCCTTCACTCGATGAATAAATTAGACGAATTAAATTAACTGCATATTTAGGTAACTACAAAAGTGCAGGAAGCAAAAATCCATGAAAATTAGACGTAATTGGGTTGTCCTATTTATGCTCAACATACTGCATGGTGATGTATGGAAGCGGAGGAAAGAAACTACGAAACATAAAGAAAGGCAGCATTATTAATAATTGTAACAAGCAAAATTTTTTATCTGGAAAGTGAAATATATACTCTAATTCACGAGTAAACGTGGCACTTAAAGTTATTACGAATTATAATTAGAGTAGGCTATGCAAAACTTGGGGATATACGTATACTCATCCTTGTTTTACCGTCTCATATCACTAACTCTCAAAATATGAAGTAAAGTGGGCTGAAATTATTGTATTAGATTCAGAATCCATCACCTTTATGGAATTGAGTCCAATCCAAACGTCCGGCATATTCGCCTCTAGGGCAACGCCGTAGATGAGTGCGTTCTCAGCGACGCTCTCAATTGACACAAGGTGAGCGTTCTCGGCAACACAGTAGTCTTCCGCTTCGTGCCAGCTCTTGGGGTCTGTAACTGCTTTGTAGCAGGAGCCCGAGTAGTCCAGGTAGTCGCTGAAGGGACTCGAGCATTTCGGTTTCGGTGCGTCAGTGCTGAGGTCCGATTCTATTGGGGAATAACAGCGTCACAAAATAGGTAACCACAGAACCGAGTTTATCGACGATGGTGACCTCAGAAGATCATCGTTTAATTAATCAGAACAACAGAACCATGACGACAACGCGCGAATGACCCTCCACCCTAGGTGGAAAATGAACTCATAATGAAAGCCTGAACGCTAGGAAAAGAAAAATCATCTAATAACATACAGAGAAGCATTTATCTCTGGACCCTGACTTGACGAACTGATTGCCCTCAAAATATTTAGGAGTTCTAAACATCCCCATGTTCCCCTAGAGGCCCAAAACGGGATATGGAGACGTCAGTTTGTTTCACCGACGAGTTGAGAAAAGGGGATAGATATGGTGCTACTTGGAAAGTGTTGAAATATAACTGGAGGTAGCACAGATTGCATAAGGTTAGAAAGGATAAATGAAAAGGACAGCAGGGGATAGACAAAGACCATAGAGCACAGCTAGGTTGATTGAAGGTGAATTTTGTTTGGTTGGGGCAGGGGGAAGAAACCCGGCAGGGCTTTGCAAGGTTTTGGTGGAGTGAGGGCAGTAGGTATTGTGGTTAATTATTTACATATTTAGATAAATTCGCGAAATAAGGGTGATATGTACATTATATCATGATGTAAACATTTGTTATATTTGCTCTTTTTTGCTTTTTATGCTATTTTTTAAATTTTTTATCGTTTATATTTTTTCCTTTTGATGGTTGAGGGATATTGGTAATGATGATTGAGGTGAGGGATGAGTAGCTCGAGACTCGGAGGAAGGTTGTGGTTCAGTTGATTTGATTTATACTAAGTTTTTAGTCTCATCTTCACTGTGTCTCTAGCTAGCATTATATATTTAATGTCAGTTCGGCAGCGTAATTGGGCATATGCGTCTGGTGGCGCTTACTGATTCCGGCCGACCAGACAAAGAGGGCCTGCCGAAGGGTTTTGAACGATTTTTTGTGCATTGTCTCGGATCAGATCCAGACTGCGCATTCTTTCCGATGACACCAAATTCTGCCGCATCGCACGAGACCCAACGGAACAACTGCAATGGAAAGCTAACAAACTGATCAGCACTGCCAACTCCGTTGTAGGGCCTAGAAAACTCACGCCTATCGTCGGAAGTTACTCTCCCGGTTACCTCTACGGAAACGTTAAAAACCACAAGCAAGGCAATCCGCTCAGACCCATCATCTCTCAAGTCACGTCTCCGATCTACAAAACAGCCAAAGAACTGGATACCATAATAAAACCGCATATTCCGAGGCAATTCTCTTTGAAATCTAGAGGCGACTTTTTGGACATCCTCCGTGCTGCACGCCCATCAGGCCTTCTCGCGTCACTTGATGTCACCAGCCTCCTCACCAACGTCCCTACTGAAGAAACATTAGAAATCATTGCCAAGCACGTATATGCTCATCCAACTTTGCCGGCTCCACCAATACCTAAGAAAATTCGTATCGACCTCCTTCGACTCTGCACTTCCGAATCACCTTTCCGGGCTCCTGACAACAAAATTTACCGACAAACCAACGGCGTAGCCATGGGCTGCCCCCTTGGTACTACATTTGCTGAGTACTATATGTGCGAAATCGAAAATCGAGTACTTTCAGATGAACAGATCAAGCCTGAATTGTACTGCAGGTATGTCGATGATATCTTCGTTGTAGTTCGAGATGAAGAACAGCTGAGGAATCTGCGACTGGCCTTTGAGATGAATTCTGTCTTGGAGTTTAAGATAGAAACATTCGAAACGTCGTTAACGAAATAAAAATCTCCATCGGTAACCTGATTTTCGATTTGCCAGTTCAAACTAAAAATATTGTTCGATATATTGAAAAAAACTAATAAGAAAATTGCGAATAAAACAAATTCTCTGGTCTTCAATGAAACCTGCTTGAAAGAAGAAATTCTGCCAACCTATACTAAATAAATAAATACGTATGCTCAACAAAAGTTAAATGATACTTACCTGGATTTTGTGCACAGATGTAGCTTCTGTTGTTGTTGCAGCTGAGATCATCCCAATATCCAGTTCCTGGCTCCGTTTGCACGCAAGGCATCGACTAAGAATAAATATGGTTTATTCATAGCCGGAAATTTCAAGTGTGATATAGTGTCACATTCAAAGAGTATTAATGCTGCTATTCGTCACATCTTCATCGCTAAAGTATGAGTTCGTCACTTGGTTGCTTTAAAACTTCTTTGAAAATACAGGCAAGTTAAAAACTATGTCAAGAAAACTTTTTTACATTCATGAGCAATAATTCTTGTGTTTCTTTCAATTTCGCTCTAGCTTCATTGGTCTTCCCTCTCGTTGTAAGAAACAAATCATTCAAATCATGAATTCATCTCATTCTCATTCTTCTCTTTCCAACTAACCAAATTGAACTTCGGTTTGAGTATTTTTTATTTTATTTTTCTAACTTACATTTATTTGTCAACGCATAAAAATTTTAATTTTATAAACAACAACAAACTGAGGCTCGTGAACAACACGAGCTAAATTTAGTTGCTGTAGTGCTAAGCATTCGTCTGTTATAAATTTTCTTATTGATTTGGTTAATACATTCGGCAATTTGTGATTTTTATCCCAGAGAAACCCGCAGGTTAGGTCAGGAGAACATGTTATTCAACAGCTGAGAGCCTGAGGCGGATCCCCTTCATTGCAGTTCACCTGCGAGTCCTCATTGGGTTCCCCCGAGCTCCAGCTCGAGTACGAGAAGCTGGTCTGGTCAACCCACTTGTAGGAGCCACCGACAAACCGCAAACCAATCCACGCGGGGTCAACCGCTAAGCTCATGATGACAGTCACCGCGGCTGATATCACAATGGTGATAAAGAGAAAAAGAGTTGGATTACCCGAAATGCGTCAATTCATATTCGTTGTGGAGGTTAAACTGTATTTTTATGCCTACATTAAGAGGCTTTCTCTAAATATATATAGCAACCGGGAAATTAATTGTCTACTAATCTTTATTAGGTTCCTCGAGGAGACCAATTTACGTATTTTATGAATTAAATGAATGCCTAAGTGCGATTTTTTTGCAATAGAGCATTTTAATTCGGCAGTTGGTTTTAGCACTTAATTCACACTGTTCCCTATTCCAAATTTCACAGCAACCCGTGGTCTGCCTCTATACCCAACTCTTCAGTTGTAAAATGGTACTTATTGTTGTATTTTAAGTATTTGTGCCAATTACATAATTTGGCCTAATGCGATGCTGTTTAGCTAGTCACAAAATTAATTTCTATAAGTTAAAGATAAAAATCATTTTTCTAACGCTTCTAGGGGAAGGAATGTACTTCTTGCAGATGTAACGTATCTTTAAACCTACAACTCATATTGCGGAATAATAGTCTCCTCCAAAAAATATCTCAACCATTTAATTTTGATATCTGCAAGATGGAAGTATTTGTCAGTGAGGAGCAGACCCAAGCAAATTATACGAATAGTTGTATGTAGTCTTCCAGAAAAATGCATTCTGAAACTCTTCCATGACATAAAAACTTTCAAATATTCTAGAAATCTTTATGACTAAATAAATTTACGCTACTGTAAAAACAGATTAAACGACTAGAATTACTTTGATGTGAATTTAGTTTTCTAATTGATTCTGCTTTTTTTATAGGTTTTGAACTTTTGAACTGACGATGGAGCTGGACTCCGAAACGTTTTCATTCTTAAGAAATGGTTAATATTCTGTCTGTTTTCTTTGCTTTTAAATTCCTGATTAACTTGCGATTTAAGCAATCTAGTAATTTTATTACTTATATACGACTAGAATTGTTTCAATGACGCAATTCACCGAAAGAAAAAAATAATCACATAAATAGTTAAAGACTTGCTGGCCTAATTTTTAAAACTTAATTTGAACTTGAAATATTCAAGGTTAAGATACTGAGGCAGAGGTTAATTAAATATTCACTGCAGGAAATTATATCACTGCACTATTATAATATAAATTATATTATAATAGTGCATTATATACTGCACTATTAGTATATATAAATTATATCACAATGCATTATATACTGCAGTGCTTCAATGCATTGCCATAGACAATAACTATATTTTTTACCAGAGCATTGTGTGAATACTAGTGTGGAAATTTGATTTTCAAACAATGTAAGCACATAAGTCGCAGTTGAATGTGTGTCGCTCCATATGAAAATTAATTACGTGACACTACCCCTAATGATTTAGTTCGAGAATTTTTCAGTCTTCTACACGTTGAACTGGCTGGCGTAAACAGTGCTCCATACCTTTAACTATGAAGCGATATAGGGCCGCTTGCTATTCGAGGGCGATATGACGCCCTGATAAGATACGTTTTAGCTTACTTGCTGCGAAGATTTCGGACTTCACGTCCTTTATTAGAGATATTATCGCACCTTAGGTGCGGTAATAATTATTCACTTAATTATTCACTTGCTTTAACTGATTGGTGCAGGGAGATAAATAATGATAAAAAAATATAAAAAATGCCGACAAAACTTGCTTCTGGTTATTGTGTAAATAGAACTCTGTTATTTATAAAACCCATTGACGATTATAGTCCACAAGCTAATGAAATTTTATAACTTATATAACAACGCACCTTGCAATTCCGGCCCGTGGATGCTGATTAGGTCGCTATTAACGCCCGATTCCCGGCACGCCTTCCGGGCGTCGTCAAAAGACAACTTATTTTCCACCAGTTGTATGCACTTTCCACCTGATATAAAGGGTAGAAGTAGCCAAACGAATTGGTGGAATAAATCAGTTTGCTATTATTTAATCATATTGTTACTTTTTAAACTAAATTTCGAAAAAAATGAGGATTCACTATAAGAATCTAGATATATGCTAATGTAAAATATATTGTCATCTTTCAATACTTATAGAGAGTATATCCCCTACAACATAAGCTATCGCCTTATTCAATTACATAAAAACGTTCAAATATTCTAGAAAATTTTATGACTAAATAAATTTACGCTTGTGTAAATACAGATATAGCGAATTGAATTGTCGCAATAATGACTCACAATTCATCGAAAGAAGAAAATAATCACAAAAATGGTTAAAGACTTGCTGTCATATCTAAAACTCAATTTAACTTTAGGGCCATGAAATAGGCCATGTGCCTATACATGAAATAGGCCATGGGCCTATTTCTTCTATGCCGACACTTCTATTCTATTCTATTCTATTCTATTCTATTACCTGCATGAAGGTAGCCCTGGCGACAATGGCCTGCAGGAGGGGAGGCTGTGGTGAGGGGTGGAGCGGTGCCGCCAACAGGCCTCTTGCAAATGAAGCCATGGGGAGTGCCGCAGTTGTCGTCGTTCCAGTAACCAAACTTTTGGGGGTAAACAGCGAGGCACGACTCTTGGTCTGAAACATGGAAGATTCAAATATTTGATATCATTTTAGATCGAAAAATGCTGACAAATGGATTACGCGAGGCACAATTCTTGGTCTGAAACATAAACATACAAATATTTGATAACATTTTGGATTGGAAAATGCTGACAAATGAGATACGAGGAACGATTCTTGGTCTGAAACATAAACATATTTCCATCATTTTCCATCACTTTGGAATGGAAAAAGAGGATTAACATTTTTAAAAGGTCAACAACATGACCCTTGTTTCGAACTTCAAAAATAGCACACGTAATCCCAACTAACATTATTGTTAAGTTCTATCACGTATTACTGGTACGATAGAACTGCAGTCTATCATTCATGGTAAACCAAATTTAATGTGTGAAGCAACTGATTCTAAATAAAGCTCTTGACTTAAAACATTCAAATCATTAGAAAGTGTCGAAATCCTGCAATTTTCATCTGGTAATTTATATTTTCTTATGTTGACAGAGGTGATAAATATGCTATTAGAAATAGATACAAATGCATAAAATTAATGCAAAAGTAACTCTAAACTGACCCAATTCCGAGTTTGGTTCGCCCATGTCCCAATTGGTGAATTCAAAAGGGTCGCCATTGGACCATCGGAATCCTTCTTCATAGTAAGCATAGCCTCCGATCCACAAGCTGTTGTCTGAATATCTGTGTACCTAACGTGACGAGTAAATCGAAGATGTTAATAAAATTCACACCTAACGGGTATTCTCCGGGTAGTATTGACATTATTAATAATAAATCTTCGTGTTCACTATAAAATAATTCAATATAATTATGAGATAACAGGCGTCTAAATCACGATCAGTGTGAACAATTTTGTGGATGTCAAAGGCACAGACTCAATAATTTCAATTAATAAACCATCAATAAACTACGTCTGCAATTGAACTTTAGAGGATCATTTGTTTCTCTGAAAACGTCCGTCGTTCAAAAATTTCAAATTGTATTCCGTTTTCAACATTGGCAAAAACTTCAGATTGAATAAATAGTTCAAGTCATATTAATTACGAGTTCAGAAAACTTGTGTCGAATTTAAATTTATTTTAATATCCATTAATACAATTTCTCAACCTTTTACAGATACGTGAAAACATCGCTCTTAATGTAAAAATATAGTTTTTAAAAGACGCAGAGGTTTGGCTGGCAACACACATCCCATTTTGCATTGCAAACAAACTTACTTTGGAAACCAAGAAACTGTTTTCTTGCTCATCAATCACCGAGGCAAGGTTTGCGCCAAAACTTTCGCATTCTCTCCGAGCTTCGTGCCAAGACTGCGAAGTCGTCTCTGTCTCGGAGAATATCCTGTAGCATTGACCGTTGTTTTGAAGCCACTTTGGATCCTGTGGGAAGTCCACACACTGGACATCTGGTGCGCTGGTGATTGGATGGATGGTGGTCATCGTAAAGCCTGTGGAGATATTGTGTTCATCGTGTGAATATTTTTTATTCTCGTGTACATAGAATACTAAATGTGAGTAATTTAATATTAATTCGGCAACTGAAGGCATTCCTCAGTAACATTGTTATCATTATATGTTATGTTATGTAAAAAAAATTAATTGATCGCCGTTGATGGTTTATAAAGCGTCATCCAAACTGTCAGCGACCAATGAGGATAGTTTTTATATTATTAGTGAACGAATCTTAATTAGATACTTTGTTCAAGTTCATTATGAAAAAAATAGCCACAATTGTTTTCTGACGACGATTTCAATTCAAAGCGAAATAAGACGTTTTAGTAACACGATACCTAGAAATGATTTTCTTATCGATTATTCTGTTTTGAATGCGCGAGAACACGGAGAAAGAATGGGAAAAAATAGATGGCACAGAGTGTTCATTAAGAGGAAGAAGGATTGAGGAGACAGGAAGCAAAAAAAGGCGATATGCGCTTAATTAGGTAAGTAATGTGTATCAGGTGATGGGCTGATGTTGGAAACTCTCGCGAACCGTTATACATGTTGAGGTCAAGTTTCCTAATCGTCTTTTTCTTCGGCGCGCATGCTGGAGGCCAGGTTTGTCAAACTTCACACTTGGTTCATATTCCTTTCCGTGCGTCAACTCGCAAGAGCGCATAGCAGCCTACGAAGTCAATTGCTCAATACCACTGCGCCGGATATCCACCGCATAAGTATGCATAAGTTAATGAAGGTCAATGGTCGTACTGCTTGTGGCCAAACTCACTACGGCCTAACGTCTTTTGGCCTAAGTTACAAACGCTGAAACATTTCTCCACCCAAAAATGAACCTGGAGCAGGACCAAACCTAACCTAATTGGCTGTAAGAAGCTTGAGAGGAGGGGCTAGTGAGCTGGTAAAGCCATAAATTAGCTACAATCGAGTTATGAGTAGGGGGCGGCGTGAATTATAGGTTAGGCCGGATGCTGAATGCCGGATGCCTCCTTTCTGCGCGTCACTGTCGTTGAGTTTCATCAGTCTAGACCCCAGTGTGTAACTGTATCGAACTTTTAAGATTGCATATTCTAATGCATTTTTTGGCGGTGAGGTAGACAGTAAGTGTTTTTATGTGGTGCATTCCGTTAGAGACGGGATGCACCACATAGTTTCGCGCCTCATTAAACATTGTTATTATCACTAGCTTTATTGTTCATACACAAATGTAAATGATCCGAGACTGTCGACTGAGGCCAGGGAGAGGTTCAGTAGAGATCGTCGATTATCGTACATGTCAACAAATTTTGTTGCACGGCCCTAGATGTTCTGTCAGAGATTCGAACAGCTCTCTGGAGCAGCGCGGCGAGAGAGATCTGCTCTCTGGAGCACCGGGCGAGAGAGAGAGAGCTGCTCTCTGGAGCACCGGGCGAGAGAGAGAGAGCTGCTCTCCGGTGCACCGGACGAGCTGATCTATAGAACACCGGGCGAGAGAGAGAGAGCTGCTCTCTGAAGCACCGGGCGAGAGAGAGAGAGCTGCTCTCTGTAGCACCGGGCGACAGAGAGCTGATCTCATCTAGAGCACCGGGCGAGAGAGGGCTGCTCTCTGGAGCACCGGGCGAGAAAGGGCTGCTCTCGGGAGCACCGGGCGAGAGAGCGAGCTGATCTTTAGAGCACCGGGCAAGAGAGGCCTGCTTTCTGGAGCACCGGGCGAGAGAGAGCCGCTCTCGCACAAGACGCACCAAACAAGAACGCCCCCATTTTTTATATTTCATTAGCCCGGTGCAGCTTCTTGATTTTTTGGCTGGGTTAATTATGCTTGATTTGTGGGAAGTGAGATCGTTGGCGGTACATTTTACACATTTCGTTTAAACGTGTTACGAACATTTTATGGAGTCACTATTTTAGAATATGTAACCATTATGAAACTACAGTCAAACAAGTGATGGCCGTATTGGCATTTTGACTGCAGAATTTTATTGTAAAACTCTAAAGCGCTTAGATTCATTTTAATGATTAAATTCGTTTTCTCTGGTAATAATATTCACAAATTCCAATTATTAATTTTTCCATTGAAAGGCAAGTTCCGACAAATACGATGATAAAGAATTGTTTGTCCTCCCAGACACTAACATCGAAGCATCAAAATCACAGTTTGCAGCGAAAAACCTCTACAATACAGTCTTCAGTCATGCATGCAAGAAAACTGGCCCGCAGTTGGAGCTGAATTATAGTAACAAACCTTGCGGGGCTTCGCAGATGTAAGGAAGGTAGCCGTCGCAGTAAGAGTCGTACCACAGGAAGGTCTCGATGAGCACGCTGACGCAGTCTTCCCTGTTTAAGTGAGAGTCGGGCTGTCCGTTCGCCCAATGCAGGAAATCTGTCGCGGTCGAGTCCAGCCAAGAGTACCCACCTGTTGAGAAAATAAAATCATTGTAATATTAAATCGTCAACGCAGAGCATCGTCCATCTAAAAATAAAGTTCAAAAATTGTGATGCATATGATTTTTATTAGGCTACCATTCGGAGCCTAATTTAATTCCAGCCTGGGGTCCGCGGACCTCTCGTTGTCTGAAAGTTGTCGGGTCCTGGTGGTGATGCGGTGCCACTACAGGAAAGAGTGGAATAGAGCAAGAGTGACCAGTAAGAGGAAGGAGATATGGAAAAGACAGTTGAAGAGGAGAAGGCGCATAGCGCATCATTGGACTGGCTGTAGGTTTGAGGGGTTTGATTGGGGTTGGGGAAGGGGAGACCTGTCAGGAGGGCTTTGGATAGTTACACGGGGGATGGGTGATGGGAGGGTGGTGGTTTTATTCACATTATTTACATTTTAAGCACAGTTAAACATAAGTAATGACAATGCGCACTCGCTGTTTACATGCGTTTTCGTTTTGTTCCATTTACTAATTTAATTTAATATTTCAAGTGAAATTAATGGGATGGGGGTTATACAGGTACTGACAATTGATGATGATGAAGGTGGTGAGGTTGAGTCGCTCAAGACTCGGAGAAAGGTCATAGGGCTCGGTTAGTTTAGTTTGTGATTGGCTTTAGGTCACGTCTTTCCTGTGAGTCTCTCTCTCTGTGGGTCGCGTCATGCAGTCCGTCAGCAAAATTGGGTCCCTGCACCTGCATGGTCGTGGTTGCGGAGAATGGCCGACCAGGCGTAGCGGGCCCGTCGTAGCGTATTGTATGGTGATGTAGGTTTTTCGACGAGCTCTACCCAGACACGGTTGCTACAACTGAAGTGCGGATGAGGCATGGCCAGCTACGTAGGTTGTGTGGCTACTTGTACAAGGGTGGAGGTGAGGGACCTAGAGCAAGTATTTTGGAGCCATGGAATGACCAGTTTTGCTTTGCTATGATATCGGAAGGGAACGTGAGATGAATGAAGAGCTGAGGGTCGTATGTTTCTATGGTAGACTAGGTTTTACGTGCTTGCTGATAGAGGATTGTGTGTATAGTGGTGATGCCACATTGTTTGTGTAGTCTATTTGTGAAGCTAGAATGTCTGTCCATTGCGTGTTTCCGATGGATCTCAGTGCGTTTCCTGGATTTTTTGCAGTTAGATAAGGTGTGTATTGATGGATAAATGAGAGATTACGTACAAAGAAGAGACATGCTATGTTCGGGAGAGATGATGGAATCTGTATATTTCATGTGCATTTATTGAAGTTCCTTCTTTCCTAACTGTAACTTGGGACCTAAAAAGGACCTTGGTACCTGTAACTTGGGTCTATGAATATGTCACTTGCTTTTTGTCTAGTGATTGGGATGATTTTAAACTTTATGGTGTTGGTCCTAATTAGCCATTTATTTTCCTATGCGTTTATCTGTTGGATGGCATGTTGTGTTTGTAGTGCTGCATAGTTATGTTTGTAACGTCCTGTTGTTATTTGTGTAACATCATCTGCAAACGCTATGGGTTCTGTGTTGGATACTGGCGGTGGGAGGTCATTTGTGTAGAAGCTGTAAAGAGTGGGGGAGAGACAAGCACCTTGGGGGACACCTGTGTTATTGCCTATTCTGATGGATGCTGTTCTGTCCGTGATGTAGTCTGCTGGTGTTTTTGTAAAGGATTGGTGGAGATTGGGTTAGATAATTCCATGTTGTAGTTCGGTGTGCTAGGCAGTGTCCAAGGACTTGTTCACATCGCGGAGCACTATTTCAGTGGTGCGTCTTTGTGCTAGGTGAACGGCGAGTGTTTTGTGGAATTTGCTGATTGTGTGTTGAGCTGTGTTGTCTAGCGCTGTGTATGTAGTGGATGGTGAAATGTTCGTGTAATATGTCGTTCATTTTTCATCAAATTAATGTTGTGAAGCATCAGGTTTGGGAAGGAAGATCATGATGACGTGTTTTAGTGAGTCGGGAAAATAATCAGTGAAAATGGAGTGATTTAAATTGATAAAAGGTAGTGGATCGTGTTTTTGGGTTTGTGGTTGAATTGGAGGGTTGTGATGCCTGTGGGACCGCATCCGCTTTCTGTTTAACTGCTGTTAGTACGCACAGTAGTTCTCTAATGGTGATGGGTAGGGAGTCTACTTAGTAGAGTCAAATTAGGTCGCCTTGATTGCCTGGATGAATGAAGTGTTTATTTTGGTTGACGTTGTCTTGTATGGATTGGATGTGTTCAGTGTCAACGTTTCCATTGTCTGTGTCATTCCGAGTGCAAACGTCCTGCCAGTGTTTCCGGAAGATGGGCTATTTTTGTTCTGGCGTGCTATGTTGAATGTTGTTAAGGTCGAGGTATGGGATGGTCTGTTTTTTATTGGAACCTAGCATCCGTTTTAAGGAAGATCAGAATTTTCTGCGATCTATTTGCTTTTCCTTGCGATCTGTTTGCCTTTCTCGTTGATGAGGTCCATTCATGACTTTGTTTGCAAATGCCTGTATGATGTGTGTAGTTGTTGGCGAAAGGTTATGCGTTGTCTGCTAAGAGCTAGCGATGGACCCTGGGTATGGATGTTTTAACGAATGACGGTGTGATGTGCCCGCGTTGTTGTGAAATGCTCTGTTGTTGGTTCAGACTGTGTCTGGTGATGTTCTGCTGGTGTGTGTGTGATGAGGGCTAGGAGGTATGAACCGATGTGGGTGTACTTGCGCAGGCTTATGAGTGAGTGTAATTCTTTACCTATGTGGTTGGAGTATGTATGTATGTTGTGGTTGTGTAATGTCCACAGATATTTGCTCGATCTTGTGTTTGATTTTCTCGTTCTGCAGCTGTTATTCGTGTTGTATTTTCTATTTGCGGTATGAACAATTGCTGCAAGTACGAAAGTCATTATGGCAATTGAAGTACTTTTCGTATGTGTATGCGCAATCCTTGGCAGCACATTCTTAATTTGTTTCCTTTGTTCTGTGCAGAAATTGAAATTTATGCGGGTTTGTTACATTTATTCATAAGGATGTATTAAGAATCTTATTTAAGAAACAAATTAGCTTCAATATTTGTTCATTGAATGGGTCGCTATAAAGTATACCAAAAGAAGGTATATTTGCACTTTCAACTTCATTTGCGATCGTTATATGACTCCTCCATTATCTGATTGATTTCCTTCATAATTTCAGTAAGGACTCCCTGTATGACTACATAAACTCGTTAAATTTAATTACAATTATACTAGGTTATCAGCAGTATACGCTTTAGTTTCATAGCTAAATATTACATTCTTCTTGAGAAAAGTCAGCAAGGAATAATCTTCCTTGCTTCTGTCAAAACCGGCATCTAAATCTTTCGACCTCGGAAGTGAGACATGAATTTAGAAGTGCTACGTGAGAATTATGCTGCATGAATTTCACCTAATTTATTCCCCACTCGCCCGTATTTTCTACCTAACGCGTCAACCATCCATCACGTCTGATGATACCCGGAGGCAGAGCTCTTGATCTTAAAGTTCATGTCGGTAAATTTTAAAGCCGACATGTTGAGGCCTGAACTTTTCTCGACGTTCTTATGAGCTAAATGTTTGGATTAAAATTAGAGAAGATATTTCGCTTCATATGAAAAGTTAGCATTAGAGCATTTTGAATTCATTAGCAATCGAGCTCCGGTGAACAAAATTAAACCGCTGGTCTTCTCATTCATTCAATGAGCTGTTCATTGCCATTTGTGGTTGGGTGTAATCCGAGCATAATTAAATTTAAGGGTAACTGGTCCATAGGCTTCTGAAAGTGGCAAGTACAGCTATATAATCACATTCAACAGAATAATGAAGCATGTGACTTAAATACCAATCAAAGGTGTCATAAATAGCCGTTCATCGACCGAGGAATGACAATATTATAAAAATCAATTCTCACTCAACACTGCTGCCAAAGTGATCACTTCAAAATGTAAATAATTTTTTTAATTTATAAATCATAAATTTTTGTGCTATGTTAAGTGAATTCACTTGTGTTATAAGATAAATGTTGAACTTGACTAATCAAGTTTAGAATTCGATTGTCATTTCGATTCTCGGTACCACATCAACTGTTATTGAAATGATGATTCACGTATAAAATAAAGACAAATAAAAGCCCAACGCACCATTGTCGGCACCGTGCACGAGGCCAGTCCAGAAGAATGAGCTGTTGATCGAGGCAAAGTCTGGGAGCCTGGGGGAGGGAACCTCTGGATTACTGAATTTCACCTCGCATAATTCATCTCAATGGAGTGACTGCGACTATAAATGAGAAGTATTGCTTATATAAAACCATGTTAGAAAAGAAAATGTCAATGTTACATAAAATTAATTTAATTTACAAGAACCTTTTGTTCGAAAAAAACTATGTTTCTGAGAGGTTATAGTTTTGAAATACATAACTAGCAGTTTGGGAGCCCGTATATACATCGGGGCCAACATTTGATCCAATTTATAAAATAGATTTGAATAATTGTGAAAAATATTTCGTATGTCCTTACAGTCCTGCTTTTTCATAAAACGTGGTTTGATGGCTGCAAAGTACTAGTTTTGAGTGAGAAATCAGCAATTAATTGATCAATGGTTAAAAGATAGAGATCGACGTTTATACTTAATCTTTTATTACGCTTCCCAGGCTCACTTTCTGAGGAAGATTTCTTCCTGTTCGCTGTGGATGCTGACCAAATTTCCGCCAAACTGAGCACAAGCTGCCTGTGCCAGTCCTTGAGATTTCTCGTCAGTCATGACCTGCATAAGTACCAAGTCAGAATTACGAGAGGAAAAAAGGTAAAAAGAAATAGAATTTATTCAGAGTGTAAATATGTGCTTACAGTTACAATAGAGAAACGCTAGCGCGTGAGTGACACTAAAAGTTTACGTAATTGTACATGAAACGAAAAACATTTAATAACATGAGTGAAAAGTTAAATATTTTGGGACATGACTATGTGCAAACATTAACTTGGTATTGGCTATCAATACATAACGATTTACTTCACATTGTAGCATCACATACGAAAATAGGACAGTTCTGACGTGCATTGCGCTATATAACCTGTTTCATTACTTATGGGCTGCGCATAACATCTAACCATAACATTTTACAGGACGACCAGCCATACCTTGTAACAAGACTGCGTGGAGGTGTAAAGTGTCCAGCCAGCAGGACATAGTGCTGGACCCGCAGTTGTGACGGGAGGCGCTATGGTGGTGTAGCCATCACGCTTGTATTCACCTATGGAGGTAATTGGCTTGTGCAACTCACCGCATATAATAGAAATTCTCTGGAAACATAGTTTTAAAGTTTAAATTTTATTTTGAAAAAGGTGTAAATTTATCTGAAATTAATTTCTAGTGAGTTTCGCAAGCGTTAGAAAATTGAGAAATCTATTTCACACGCTAAAATCAGCAATATTGTTCAGTGAGTTCAAAATTCAAGCATAAATAAATCATAAAATTACAGGCACAATATAAATTGCCTTTTGGAACTGCATTTGCTCAACTTCATAAACTCTAAAGTGTCAATTTCTGCTTCAGTGCCGTTCTTACAGGAGAAAAAATGAAAATAACAGATATAATGAGCAAGGTTTTTTTGTAACATTGAATAAGATCTATCTTAGAACTGAGTCACACTATATGCTGACATTTAATTAAAACCGAATAAACAGACAGGTATTGGCATCTTATAGTAAAAAAAGATCTCGTGTTTATGCATGACTTGAATTTTATTACCCAGGCATGCAAGGTTTCTTTTGTACGGTTAGTTTACTATTATATTTCCAGTCGAGCCGTGCAGAAATATTCCACGAGACATGGCGATAAATGTTACGCAAATACAAACTACACTTCGCCGAGGACCGCGTCAATATAATTGCTGCGACGAATCTCTTAAAATTTGTTGTGATGAATCTCAAAAATTAGGCGATGAATAAATCATTGCTAATTTTATTTATATCAATTATTGAGGAACACTAACTTACTTCAAGATGCCAAAATTAGACATCCTGACGCCAACCAATTCACGTCCGAAAATTCCTTCAAGGAAATTAACGGGAAGAACGTGTTGCTGCATTTACAATGTGGCAACGCGTGTTGACAATCCCTCAGAATGCTATTTATTCAAAGTACTATTTTGTAGTGAAAACAGTTTGAAGTACCATTTTCTCCAAGAAAGTGTAATTTTTGTTATCATACATATAAGCTAAAAAACTCCAAAATAAATTCGATGAAAGTAATTTTTTGTATGCAGTTGAAAGGTTGCCGCAAAAATTTTCCCTCCAACAAAGGAAGCAGCTTCACACTGGGTAACTAGAACTGTATAAAACGATGCTTCATTTACCACTTTGAGATAAACTCTAGTCAAATAATCGTAAAGCAAGACTTTAGAATAATCTCACTTATACTCGTATCATGAAACAAATTTCATGATACGAGTATAAGTGAGAAACATTTCGAGGAAGAGAAATGCCAGGCCAGGACTTGGATTAATGTGACTAGAAATATTTTCCTGTAATGAATGCTAAAAGTTTGCTCTGTATATTATTTGAACAGGTGGTTGTGTAAATTATGTGCAGCCGTTAAGTTATCATGAATTCATATTGAACATTTTTGTAAGTGACAACGGGTTTGTCGAAAGTTACTCACAAATGAACGGGTAACTTACGCATGAACGTGTAACTTACAGAAGAATGGGTAATTTAAGGAAGAGCAAGGTAACTTTCAAATTAACGAGTAACTAATAGATAGCCAGATATAGCTTGCAGATAAACGGATGAATAAGTAACAAGAGGAGCAGATAACTTTCAAAGGAGCGCGTAACATAAAGATTAACAGGTATCTTCAAAATGAACGAGTAAGTTACTGATGAGCAGGTAAATAATAAATTAAGTGATAACTAAACAGAGGGGAAATAAACTTACAAATAAACGGATAACCTAAAGACTGAGTGGCAACTTACTAATTAACGAGTAACTTACGGATGAACAAGGAACTAAGAAATGACAGGGGAACTTACAAATCCACCAGCAATTGGCAAATAAATGTTTCCCTCCCCTGAATTCACAATCTTTCCCCTAACTCGCGAATAAACGGGTAACTCACGAATAAACGGGTAACCCACAAATAAACAGGTAACTTACAAATGAACAGTTAACTCACAAATGAACGGTTAACTCGCAAATGAACGGCCAACTCCGCCTGAACTGTTGACTCAAAAATGAACAGTTAACTCACAAATGAACAGTTAACTCATCAATTAACGGATAACTCCGCTTGAACTGTTGACTCAAAAATGAACAGTTAACTCACAAATGAACAGTTAACTCACAAATGAACGGTTAACTCACGAATGAACAGTTAACCCACAAATAAACGGTTAACTCACAGGAGAACGGCCAACTCACAACTAAATAGTTAACTTACATAAGAACGTTTTACTCACAAATAAAGGGGTTGTTGTTCATGCAGTCGCTGATGTACCACAGACCCAAGGAAGCCTCGTCGCCAGACGCATAAGCGCATTCTCCCACGTCGGTGTCTGTTGCAATTATTTCAAAGCTCTTTTATCACTTACAGGCTCAAACTCGCACAAATAAATGAATGCTTGATAATTACCCCACGTAAATTTGGAAACTAGAGTAAGAATAGACTTTTGGTATTAATAGAGTTGTCGGGCAGTGTAATAAACTGAGAAACTATAAGACGATGCATTCGTTTCTCGGCTTAGCCTCATACCACATAAAAATTTGCCCCATCCTATTTTTTTAATCGTGATTGAGATCCTACGGACACGATATTTTCAAAGGGTATCAAGATTGGAGCAAAATGTTTGAAGCTAAAAAAGTACTCATATATAATACAACAATCTTAGTACAACGTGGTCATCTCATCCTTGCATTATTGTAATGATTGAACTTAGGAAATAAATCTCGCACCTGGCTGGTATTCTCCCCAGCTGCTGTACGTGAAGTCTGTGCCATCGTCCCATCTGAAGCCGATGGTGCCGTCATTGTTGACCATTTCTTGCAAGCCGATCCAAACGTGACCGCCGAGCTCACCAAGATGTGCGGCTAGGAATGCTCCTTCAACTCTTTTAAAAATAACGAAAAATTATCTTCTTAGATCATAGTATTGGAACCGACTATATAATATATTACAAATAAATTGGTGTTTGGTGTATCAGGTTCAACACTGATTTTTAATTGATTATAATAAATCGGTGTACCAGTCTTTAGACTCTTTAACCACATGCACTCGTGAACCGTTTCCCTCATTAAAAGTCCTTAATTCATGGATTCACGGATTGCTAGTTAAGATACATTTTGAAAATTATTCAAAATTTTATCATTATATTTACAGGCGGGTGAGATGTGACACAAAATATGTTCAATTGAAAATGTATGGATAGTAATGAATTTCATGTGCATTTCATTTGCATCATTTTGAGAGTTTCTAAATTAATATTTTGTAATGTTTCTCTTCCAACACCTGCCAGTAAACTTTGTTTGGAACAGGTCACTCAAAAACTACGAAAGCAGAAGCATTGTTTGTTTATTAAGTTCAGAAAATGATGCACTCTTCAAATTAGTCACAGTGTAAGCCTCAATTTTCTAGGAATAAGAAATCAGGTTTGAGAATCGATATACGTGTGTCAGCAGTCCACGTTGACTTCTCCATGTAATTGACTTGATATTCTAATTAAAATTTTCATCCATGTGGTGAAGAAAAACAAGAAAGAAGTCCAAGAAAAAAATTACAAGAGTGTTTTTCAGAAGGAAGCACATATTAAACACTAGCATTTTTACTCGGGGTCGATAAAATCCCAAAGAATCGTGAATCTTATTTTCAAGAATATCGATTACGTCGCAGCTTGTGTAATTTTCAAACTTTGCCCCTTCAGACAGACATTCCACATTCATTTTTCAATAATGCCTGAATATTTAGATATTTTTATAGCATTCAAATTTACTCAATTGAAACCCAAAATTTTAATTTTTCTGCATACTTGTTTTACACTGCTCCATAATGCAACCGATAAATATAAAATTTCAGATCTAAGTAATATCCCGACACAACATGTATTGTGGGCAGGAGCTGAAATCCGCAATGCTCGGCTAATTTATAGAAGTTAACTAAGTTACGAATTGCTATATTCATTCTGATTGTTAAAGTTGTAAATTTCTATAAATGAAATTCGCTAGACCTAAATCTTAGTGGGTCGCCAACTGAAAGCCTAACCAGGCTTTGTAGAAGATGCCACTTCTCTCACTTACTGGTCTTTTATGCTGACGACGTGACCTCCAGGTATAAGACTTGAACAATTGGACTTCGCAGTTTTGTAGTTTGTTTTGTAACTCATTTTTGAATAACATGAAGTGCCGTGATAAAGATCATCATTCTGCAAAGAATGGAAGATCAATAATTACCTAAACACGTTGAAAATTTTAAGTTTTATGATCTATATAAAAATTGAAAGATTATAAATGATTTCTGAATTAGAAGTTAAATTTCACAAGAAATTCAGCACAAACACGAAGCAAATTTTAACAGGATGCGCACACTGAAGTTTCGCATCGAGCATCAAACACCGTTACGTTTGTTGTGAAAAATTTGTAGCGAAGACATTGTGAGAAATCACTGTTGTCTAAAATTCAAAACAAAAACGATATCAGTCTTTAAATGTTACATTTGACTGTGCGAAATGTTTATTTAAAGTTTAGTAAAGACAATCAAGTCCGTTTAGTCGTCCGGCATGCGTGCCCTTAAGGTTGATACCTACAAAGATATACTGCATTGTTTTGTCGACCTCTTCAAAAAATATAACTCAGTACTCACTGCAATGAGTGACAGAGAGCGCATTTTCTCGTCGACGAAAACGTGAAGTCACGGACGGACGGACGGACATGACGAGCACAATTGCTTTTTTTTCCATAAATGAGAAAATGCGCTTAAATGAACGTCATTAATAAAGACGCATTGCCCAATAATGGCAAAATATTTCTCTGAGAGGCAAAATGCTGACACAATCAGCATTTTGTGCTGTGGAAATGCTGTCACAAAAATTTTCCACACAAACCACAGCACGGTGCTAATCAACTCAACTGTACAAAATTTTCTAAATCCCAGAGAAACCTCGTCAATGAATGTACTTATACTATGACTGCGTATACTATAATACTATGTACGTATATTATGACGACGTACTTGAAGTATGTCCTTTACTATGACGACGCTGGATTGTACTTATACTTTCCCAAATCCCAAAGAAACCTCGTCAATGAATGTACTTATACTATGACGACGTACTTATGCTATGTACTTAGACTTTTCATATCCCATAGAAACCTCATCAATGAATGCATTTATTTCTCAAGGCGCAAAAGGTCTATCACACTGCATGGCGTTCGGATGAGCGCCTATATATACTGTATATGAACCGTTGTGTCTGGTATAATGAATCTGGATGCAAAATGCCATCGTGTTATCATTACAGAAAACATAGATGTTGATTCTGAATACAGATTATTACATTTGCTTGACCGTTCAAGAGAGAATGGGCAGAGGAAGGGGTACCTGTACTGTTTTTTTTCAAGAGTTGATCACGAGTTACATGGTATACGTATACGACAGATTTCATTGTGCTAGTTTGGTCACTAAAAATTTCGCTCGCCGTTATTTTTGAATATAGTGAAGAAAGGACTTAAATTTCAATGCATACTGTATATCAAAGTATTAACTGCAAGAAATATATTGTGAGTTGAAAGTTGTCGGATAACGATTATGAGTTCAATTAATCATAATTTGGAAAGACAATTTTCTGAAACACATTTTCAACGTGGTGATTAAATTAAGACGAAAAAAATGCTTTAAAAATAGTTCAATGCATGGTTATGATTGAATATTAAACAAAATCGAACTCCATTCCAATACTGACTTCAGATTAAGTTTGTTGGGCGCACTGAGTCCATTTCTCGTTTACTACCGCTGCCAGAAGGGTCTATTAGGAATTTTATTACAGAAAATAGTAACTCGGTTTATCGGCTTGAAAAATTCTCGGTTTATCGAAACACTTTGACACTCTTATAATATGAAAAACAGCTGAACGAATGAATATTTCTTCTCATTTAGTCCAGAAATTCCTCCGAGTAGTTTAATTAAGTAGTGTCCGATGGCGCCGTAGTAGGAGCAAGTTTATTTCAACGATGAAAAGTGTAGCAACTTCTGTCTGACAACAATACCCTATTCTAAATTTCGTCCGCACGTTTGCCATGGTAAGACGCTAGTCATGGGGTGTTGGCACAAATCATGACCACGAACCATGAGAAATTACATCGACGAATGAACACTCGTACGTTTTCTATGTTAAATGAGGGAAACTAGAGGGAATAATTGATACGTTCGAGTGTGCGCTAGTGGGATAATGTGTGAATGTGGGAGAATGTTTCATACTGGTCAATGGTAAAATGGTTGGTACTGGTGAACGTGAGAATATCTGTGGCACTGTGTTATGTTCTTTACTGAGTACTGGTGAATGCGGTAGATAGTGCGATACCCGTATGAAAGGGGAAGAATGTTCCATGCTGGTGGATGGCCAAGAATATTAGCTACTGCTCTTTGGTGTAAAACTTTTGTTTTTTATTAGAAAATTGGGATGAATTCTTTGTGTTTTTCAATGTGGCAGAATGTTTGGTAATGTTGTAGTAATTTTTTCCCGTGCAGATTGGAGCTGACGATTCAATAAAAAAATCAATAAATGTTTCAAGTTCTTTTCGTCACAACTAAAACTTTACCGATGTATTTTCTTGTCCTGCTGGAAAAAGATCAATTTCTACATTCCTTTGTCCACAACTATACTTTTTTCCAGTGTTTGATTTATGTTCTCTGTTCTTTCTTTTCATTTTATGAATTGGATAAAAACTCGTCGTAGGCAATAAACTACGTACTCCTCCCTACTTCCCTTTAAGGGAAGATAGGTTTTTACTTGTCTGATTTCAGATTTGACCGAGCACATCCTGTAAGGTATCAAATGCCTATAAAACTCGCGTTCTAAGGTAGCCAGAGAATTTTTTTATGTTTATTTGTGTAAAAAATATGATGATTTTTAATATTGTATCATGTATATATATGCATTAATTCCTTATACAGTCACAGGTAACACAGACATTTTATTACAAGTAATATACATATGATGCGCTAGGGAAAGAACAAAGTCAGTTTGAAATTAGCAGCAAAAATGCTTATCAACACTTACAAAATTGTATCGAAACCATTTTTTTTATTAGTGTAATGTGTGCATGATTTGCATTGATATTTAATCTAGTTATGATTTGAATTTAGCCTTAAAAGAACATTTGACTCCAGGCCCTAAAAATTGTTAATTATTTTTATTTGGAAATGAGAAAAATCCACCTATTCTCAATGTATTTTTTTTCATTTTTAACGCATCATTCACACCAGTCGGTACGAGGTACTACTCACACTAATACATCCAGATGACGGCGGTAAAAGGCTGGTTATTGTGGCAGGTTTCTTGCACAAATAATATTCTTCAGAAGCACAACCGTCCAACGACTCCCACAGCAGACCACAGAATTGGGCCAAGAAGAAGCAGGTATTTGAAGTAGGAGCTGAAACATACGAGAATACATGTATATATGAAAAATATGACAAAAATCATCATACGGAAGATCCCTGACAAAAAAAAAACACAATAGATATTGTCAGCGTAGCTGTATAGGTATTGAAATATTACTAGAGTCTTTCGTTTTATTTTGACGAATATTTTTTCAATTGTAACATATTTTGCAAATAAGAACTCCGATGAATTTGCTTTTAATGTAAACACTTGTCCAAGATTATTTTAGATTACTTATAAAATCCTTCGAAGGAAAAATGAAAAGCATTCCTGTCCCGAGGAGATATTAATTAAAATCCCATTTTCTTGTAGGATTCGCACACACATACTATTATGTATTCGACTTCATTTTTTTTTTGCTTCAGACTAATCTTTTCACAGGTAATATTCTACATATTTTTTCACCATTTTTACATCATAATCGTGTTGCATGAATGTTCTTTATTTTATTTATGCCAAGTTAAACCTAATCATTTACCAAATCGAAATAAGAATCATACTCTAGATTAGTGGTGCCCAAACTAATTAGGACGGAACCAGTATTTGCTATATCCAAAGTGCTGTGCCCCTCACATTTCGACGGAAACTGAAAATTCCCTTTTATTTATCAGAACAATCTCGTTTCTATATTAAGGGTAGCGTCTACCCCAAAAATTATCTCGGCTATTTACAAACGGATCACTCTGAAACTTGGTACACATATGTAAAATGGAAAAAAACTCACATTTTGTTACCCCCACCCGCCCCCCTTTCATGAAATGTCGTGAAGTCATAAATCAACGTAGAGAGATGGCAGTGGTACCGTTGGATAGGGCAGAATGTCAGCTTAAAAATTAGTATGAAAACCGAAAAAGTAAAAATTTTCAATTTTAGGGTAGACCTTAAACAAGAGCAGAATATGTAATAATAAATTGCTTCTGATCTTTACCAGCTTAATAACAACTATTCATTTAATAAGTTTTTCTAATGAGAATGATGCCCTTGCTCTTTTGCAACACATTTGTGTGACTCATGATACTTCCCTTGTATTCTTCAGATTTGATTTTACCACCAATAGGGCCAAGCTATCATTTCAGCAGAGGAATGTGGATGAAAAAAATTAAAACCTTCAGGGCCCCTTCTTTGGCCTGAGGTGAGTAGATATGCTCATTAAATAAGAAAATAGAGCTGCAGTAGTTTTGTTTTCATGGATCTCGAATTTTACGAAGACTTCGTTGACGAGCTACAAGAAGTTTTCATGCAGGTTATCGGTGATATGGTGGATCTGGACCTCTTCATTTTATTAAGTATTCTGAAAATAGCGTCTGAAAACTTCCTGGACAATGAAAAAGTGCTTTGTGATAACTAGTTGCAGCTGTACGTAAGGTGTTCTCCAACGAATGCGACGCATTTATTTGCAACTACCATTCCTCTGAGAGCTAACTTGTCTGTGGAAGCCTTGATGGCATCGAATGCATTATGATGGTAGTTCCTGAGCACTGTAGTAGCCAGTTGAAACTTGAAAGCAATGAAAATTCCACAAAAATTCATACAATTCATACAATTCATACAACCGTTTTTGAGTCCAGCTCCATCGTTAGCTGAAAATTCTAGAACACTGGTAAATCCTTCCATTTTATGTGCGAGCGTCCTTAGTTTATACATACAGTTGTGCACGATGTGCATCTGCGTCCGTCGGGATGACGTCTCGCAATCTTTATTCTAGGGCCGCAAAACATAGAGGAGGATTTATAGAACTGATCACTTACTCACGCCTCTTATAATAGGCTGTGTGCACTCACGCCAAGCAGTGCGATGTTCCAATTTCTGATAGTGATTGCAAAGTTTTAGTTTCATCTTTCGGTGTTTCCGATTTTGTAATTTCAGAATCATTATATATTTCCAAACAGAGACCAAGTTTTAGTTCAGCTTTTAGCTCTTACCCACTTGAAGTTGTAAATAGATAGGTTTTAGCGTTTATGTTTTTTTAGTACCGACTATACTAATTACTGATTTACCTGTGTTCTAGACTTTTAGAACTGATGATGGAGCAGAACTCCAAAACGTTTTCTATGAAGATTATATGAATTTCTGCTAAATTTTCTTTCCTTTTAAGTTTCTAGTAAATTTGCGATTCCACCAAACGAGTGATATTAGGAGCCAGTTGATTCCATTCAGAGCTTGAAACACGGTAATTAATTTGGCCAGACTACACTTTATTGGGTAACAGATTTCATTTAGGAACTGGAAGCTTGATTTCTTTTTAGGAGCCATATATATCTGCCATTTATCAACAAGTTTACACACGCAAGCGAGAATATTTTCAGGTGATAACCAGCACACAGATTTGCAAGAGCTGAGGTCTTCGTGGGGAAAATTTATGAATTCACACAACTCCCTACATCCATTACTCCACCTTTGAAATGGTCAATGTGGCTAATCACAGTTCAGTTTTTAATAGAACTATGATCTTGAGAGAAGCAAGTAGCGTCTTGGAGGCAGGAACCTCAATTGCATCTTAGTGTTAGTTATAATAGCTTAGGCAGGCATATCTATAGTACTATTTTTAGCCTGCAAAAAATATCGTTCCCATCATTGACAGTTATAATGCATGGTCATGTTATTACTACAATTTTCGCTAGAATGATATACAAACATCTGACGTTTATTCATGATCTTGATGGGTTTAGTATATATGTTATTCGAGGATTAACCTAAATAGGCCACACCTGTGTGAATAAAAAAATTTCCAAAGTAAAATACGAAAGAATATTTAAGTAAAGAACGGGAATTTTTCAGCTTCGCGAACACAAAAAACTAGAAACATCTGAAATGTAGGTAATGTTTGGCAGTAATTAAGAGAATGTTGGTAATCTGAAGACGTGTTTCCGCAAACTAACGTAAAAAAGGACAGAACACGATTGCAGTAAGTGCGAAACTGTACAATAAAAGCGGAAAGTGCTTCTTTATAGTGGCTCAGATCTAGGTTTATTTGAACAGTTGTCTTCAAAATCAATTCGAAGCCCGACTTAATTCCTTGTCCGTACTCTGTCGTGACGGACGAGAAGAAAAGTGGGAGGTAGAGAAGTGAGTAGAGTATATATAGGTGATAAATTAGCGTTAAGAGGCATACAAGTCAGAGAAGTGGAGTGCTATCGTAGAGTAGCAGAGTGACCATTTGTTTATCTCTGGATTCGAGCCCTATGTCACATGAGTTTGGGGATTAAGCCTAGATGAATTTTCTAACGCTGTTCTTGACGCTTGATTTAACCAGCGTCTTCACTATACATTAACATCAGGCCAGGGCTCAAAATTCCTGCTCATTTTCTCCACAAAAATTAATTATTAAAATTTTCACTTTGTTCGCTAAATTTGACGCTAGTCTTGGCAAAGAATAAATGTTTGATGGAACTAATTGAATTCAGCGCTCAATTTCTTGAGTGGTAGTTGCAATTATTTATTGTCTGAAAAGCATTCCGGCTAGCTGACATCAATCCTAAAACAGATGTCGGGACACGGCGTCCGGGGCAGCGGATGTGCCAAAAGGTTGAAAGAAAAATTAAAATTCATGAACGTTTAACGGAAATAAATTTGAGAGCAAAAACATTCGGATAAATTCGCAATTTTAAAGTTTAATTTAGGCATAAATTCCCCTGATCTTAAATAGTTTGATGCAGTCATTAAGCGGTCACACGGGTCGTGACTTAATCTAACGTACGGTCTAACATCGCTGGTCACCAACATCGGTGACCATGGCGATGGAATTTATCCGAAATATTCGGATAAATTCGCAATTTTAAAGTTTAATTTAGGCATAAATTCCCCTGATCTTAAATAGTTTGATGCAGTCATTAAGCGGTCACACGGGTCGTGACTTAATCTAGCGTACGGTCTAACATCGCTGGTCACCAACATCGGTGACCATGGCGATGGAATTTATCCGAAATATTCGGATAAATTCGCAATTTTAAAGTTTAATTTAGGCATAAATTCCCCTGATCTTAAATAGTTTGATGCAGTCATTAAGCGGTCACACGGGTCGTGACTTAATCTAGCGTACGGTCTAACATCGCTGGTCACCAACATCGGTTCCTCTTCAACCACCATTTCGAGCTACTTTCCCCGGTGTTGACCCTGTGACTAGCGTTTATGACCACATTCGTCGCATTATCCATACATGGCTGCGTCCGCGTTTTGCCGGTTCAGCTCGGCTAGTGCACCGCCTGCATAGGCAACTTATCTCCTGGAACTGTTTCTTCTCCTAAGTCTACCCTCTAACTGTACAAAGCTGTTCATTCGTAATAGACGTACTTTCATTTTTTGACGATTTGCCATTAATTAAAATTTTATTCATTGTCTGATCTCGTTCCCAAATAGTTTCTTTATTACATGATAGTTTCTGATTGATAAAGAAAAGTTAAAATTTATAATTGATAGGTTCTTACTTCTGATGCCAGTAAAGATCCGCAATATCGGCAATTTTTGTTTTTTGCAAGTGAGTCGCACAGCAGCGTTCTTTGCGGATTGCAGTTTATTGAGTGCCGTGATCGGAAGTCCGTAGAGCAAGGCATTACCATAGTCTAATCTGTTCAGAAAGAGCACCACCACATGGGCTTCAAGGACCGGCCTCGAGAGACAGGGCTGACGTTACGTATTTGTCGCAGAGCGCTAAAAGAAGCGGTGGTGACTTTAGCAATGTGATTGTTCATAGAAAGTTCCGAGTCCAGCAGAATGCCGAGGTTGTGAACCGAATACGCAGGTACCACGACCTCGTTTGCCCATGCGAACGGCATTGGCCGAAAGCTGATGATGGCGCCGAACAGTGACAAACCAAATAAAGTCTGCTTTTGATGCATTAATCTGGAGCCGATTGGAGCTCATCCAGTCATGAGAGGGCTTCAATGCAGACAGATATCCGGTCCTGCAACGCTGCAGCGTCAGCCGTTGCTCAGTAGCCATAAATTTGGGTATCGTCGGCGAAAATATGCAGATTCAAACAATGTGAATTAATTA